GTGCGGATGGACGGATGAGTGGGTGGGTAGGCAGATGGATTGCTATTCGGGTAAGTGGATGTGTCGCTTCCTTCGCAAGGTGGGAACAAAGCTGGGGGTGGGGGGATGCAGGCTCTTGGGTCAGCCTGTCTCCTGGTCCTCTCAGGAATGGGGAAGGCTGGGGAGATTCCTTCCAAGGAGGGTGGGCTATTCTTGTTCCGAAGTTGCTCATTGGACACATTTTCCCTTGTCCTGTCTCTTTGGCAGACCCTGCACCTGCAATCCCGCTGGCAGCCTGGGCACCTGTGACCCCCACAGTGGGCGCTGCCCCTGCAAAGAGAATGTGGAAGGCAGCCTGTGTGACAGGTGGGTGAGCCAGTCTGAAGTGACCTCGGGGCTTGCGGTGGAAGGAGGAGCAGGGGGCATGGTCCTCACAGACTAGGCAACCTCCCCACCTGGCACCCTTCCTGGAGCACCGTGGATCTGCCATCTAGGAAGTTAGCTAAAGGTTTTATTACACTGCATGTGCTGTGCCCCATCATCACTGATGATTCATAAGCCTTGAAAGTACATCTTTTTCCAGCTTATAAATCCTAAAGAGAAATCGCTGGAAAGGATAGGAGAGATCATATATCCAGGGACAGCAAGTACATACCACAACCCTCTAATCTCACACCAGGGCAGACATCACTGATGGAGCGCCACCACCACCCCATCTCACACCAGGGCAGACATCACTAATGGAGCGCCACCACCATCACCCCCCATCTCACACCAGGGCAGACATCACTAGTGGAGTGCCACCCCCCAACCCCCATCTCACACCAGGGCAGACATCACTGATGGAGCGCCACCACCATCACCCCCCATCTCACACCAGGGCAGACATCACTAATGGAGCGCCACCACCACCCCATCTCACACCAGGGCAGACATCACTAGTGGAGTGCCACCCCCCAACCCCCATCTCACACCAGGGCAGACATCACTAATGGAGTGCCGCCACCACCACCACCCATCTCACATCCAGGGCAGACATCACTAATGGAGTGCCGCCACCACTACCACCCCATCTCACACCAGGGCAGACATCGCTAATGGAGTGCCACTACCACCCTCCCATCTCACACCCAGGACAGACATCGCTAATGGAGCGCCACCACCACTACCACCACCACCCCATCTCACACCAGGGCTGACATCACTAGGGCACAGCAGTCTTTATCACGAGCCCTGTCGTGACCTTGGAATCCTTCTTTATGCCTTGATCCACGAAGCTCCTACTAAGTGGAGATCCAAGCCTGTTTGCCATCCTGTCCTGGTACAAACGGAGCCTCTAAAGCTCCACTGGGCAGAAGGCCTTTCCAAAGTTTCCTCCTCTGTGTGTTGGGGCTCCGAGCTCCGGCAGTGGGGCTGGCCGGCAAATGCGGTCCCCTTCTCGGGCCCACTGTGTCTTCTTCCTGGCTCTGGCCTCTGAAGCCCTTCGCAGGCAGCACAGGGTCTGTCTGGGACCCTGGTGCTCTGGCCGCGGCCCCGTGTGTGACATGTCTGACACAGCATTGCACTGTGGACTGTCTACTCCGGGCTGTCCGTGCTGGGCCTGCACCGGTTCAGGAAGAAGCCAGGGCCAAAGCCACGTGGCCGGCCCTGGCTTTGACCCTCTCCACGGCCAGCCTCGGGCCGCCCCACCTCGTCCATGCGTGGCCTGTGGGCCCTGGGCTGGGAACTGGACTCCCTGCTGCATCTTCCTCTGAGACCCCTCAGGAGAGGAGGCAGAGTGGAGTCAGGACACCAGATCCTACCCGGTTCTCCCATGGCTCTGCCCCGCCACCTCACACCTTGAGCAGGTCCTCCCTCCGAGCCTCAGTGTGCCCATCTGTGAGATGGGAGGCCTGACCAGATGTGTTCCTCGGAGCCTGCAGGGCCCTGGGTCACCAGCAGCATCTTATAAATCATATTCCTCTATCTGGGTGGCTCAGATGGAGCCCCCCAGGCTGCAGACCAGGAACCTGTGTTTGTTAAACGCCTCTCCATGGCTCCTTGGGGAAATGGCTGATTCTGGGGCTGGGGTGGGGAAGAGGCAGGATGAGCCCGGAGTGTCTAGTAGTGCCAGAAAACAGGAAGCGCTTAAAAACAAAAACAGACAAAAAACACAAAACAAAACACAGTCCAAACAAAAAACAAAAACAAAACCCAGGCCCAGGATGGGGGCCTGTCCAAGGGGACACGGGAGCCAACCTGAAGGAACTCTCAAAGCTGGAACGATTTGAACAAAATAAATAACGATAGGGCTGGATTATAACCCAAAGAATAAAATAAATATCCACGAGTCCACCCTGATAAATAGATGAGTGAGCAAATAAATACACGGGGACAAAGGGACAAATCTTCCTTGCAGAAGAATTCCAAGTTATAAACGTAGAAGGAATGAGGGAAACATAAAATCGTCAGAATTTCAGAGTAACATCGCTGTGGGCAGGAGCTGCTGCCGAATGCTGGAATTAGTGGGCAGGACTTCAAGGAGAAATAGGATGTTTTCGTTGCCCCAAAATATCTCTCTCAAAATGTCTATTAATTTTATGGTGGTTTCAGCAACGTCCGCAGTTTTTTGTTCACCCCACCCCTCCTAGGAGACGGAGCTTAACTCCCCTTGACTTGCCTGCTGGATTTAGTGACTTGCCTCTAACCACAAGAGTGGCAGTTTTGCAGGGGACGAACCTGGCAGGCAGTGTCTTAACNAGTGGCAGTTTTGCAGGGGACAAACCTGGCAGGCAGTGTCCTAACCAAGCAGCGAAGGTCAACATGACCAGTGACATCACATGGGTATCACTTCATGTCCCAATGTGCNGCAGGGGACAAACCTGGCAGGCAGTGTCCTAACCAAGCAGCGAAGGTCAACATGACCAGTGACATCACATGGGTATCACTTCCCCCAATGTGTNTGAGCAAATAAATACACGGGGACAAAGGGACAAATCTTCCTTGCAGAAGAATTCCAAGTTATAAACGTAGAAGGAATGAGGGAAACATAAAATCGTCAGAATTTCAGAGTAACATCGCTGTGGGCAGGAGCTGCTGCCGAATGCTGGAATTAGTGGGCAGGACTTCAAGGAGAAATAGGATGTTTTCGTTGCCCCAAAATATCTCTCTCAAAATGTCTATTAATTTTATGGTGGTTTCAGCAACGTCCGCAGTTTTTTGTTCACCCCACCCCTCCTAGGAGACGGAGCTTAACTCCCCTTGACTTGCCTGCTGGATTTAGTGACTTGCCTCTAACCACAAGAGTGGCAGTTTTGCAGGGGACAAACCTGGCAGGCAGTGTCCTAACCAAGCAGCGAAGGTCAACATGACCAGTGACATCACATGGGTATCACTTCATGTCCCAATGTGCTGGGACATGAAGGCCACTTCACCTCTATTTCTTCCCAACACCAACGCCCCTGTCTAATCACGGGAAACAGCAGACAAACCCACCCTGAGGGGCACTCTCGGAATACACCTGACCAGTGCTCTTCAAGCACAAGGTCTCGAAAGACCAGGGGAGACCGAGAAGCTGCTATGGATTGGGGGCAGTTAAGGACGGTCTCAGTACAACGCTGTGTCCCGGGGGGAATGCTGGCCAGGGAGACATTCATGGGGAAAGGGGGGACATCCTAATAAAGTCTGGAGTTTCGTAAGGAACAGTTTCTTGGTTTTGATCAATGTCGTGGTGATGCTGGGTGTTGACATTAGGGGAAGCTGGGTGAAGAGGCTGTGGGACTGTGTCCTAGCTTTGCAACTCTTCTGCAAATCTGGAAAAAAGGGGTTTTTTGTGTTTCCCCAATGATTCTGGACTTGCATTAGTCCAGCCAGGGTCCCCTGAACCTGGCCCATTCATTTGGCCCGTGGGCATGTCCTGCTTCCATTTCAGATGCCGCCCAGGGACCTTCAACCTGCAGCCCCACAACCCCGGCGGCTGCAGCAGCTGCTTCTGCTACGGCCACTCCAAGGTGTGCGCGGCCGCTGCCGGGTTCCGGGGGCACCGCATCCTCTCCGACTTCCGCCATGGTAAGAAGAGCCCCGCAGCCACCTCCGAGGGGTCTCTCCCAGCCCAGGTGGGGTGGCCGTCCTGAAGTGCTGGGAGGGCGGGGGAGGAACGGAGGGGCAGCCTCAGGCCCCAACCCGGGATCTCCCACAGGCACCCATGGCGAGCCGTGCAGGATGGGCCCCTCTGTGCCCGCCAGCGCTCCCAGTGCCTCCCTGCACCCCTCAGCTCCCTCCCGGCCCTGCCTTTGCCTCAGCCTCCAGCATCCTTTATACTTGTGGGCAGGGATGGGTATAAGGTAGCCTTTGGACCCTGTGGGGTAATTTCTAATCACTCAAGGTCAAGATTGGCCTCCCTTGGTATATCCTAGTGCTGGGAATTTAGGCACAATCTCCTGCTAGCCTCCATTTATTGAGCACCTGCTGTATGCCAGGCACTGCACTCTTTATATGCAGGGAACCTCACGGAGTCCCCTGCAGGCAGGTAGGTGCTCTCATTCCCATTTTACAGATGAGGCACCCGAGGCCCAGAAGAGGTAGGTCACATAACTTAGTTGTTGGCACCAGGGTTTGTCAGCGTCTGAGTTTTTCTCTCAACCGCTGTGCAAGTTTTCTCTCTGGGCCCCAGGTCCAGGGATACCGTGGTGCCCCAGGTACCCAATTCCAGGTGACATAGGTGCATCTTTGGAGCAAGAAAGAGCTAAAGCTCTGAATTGTGCATTAAATCCCAGTCTGTGTGGACCCCTACTGTGCCCCACAGGGCCCCCCCACCACCTCCCCCAGAGAAGAGGGGAGTGTCAGACGGGGACAGAAACTCCGGCACTGGCTCCGGGGCACCCCAGATGTAGAGACAGTGCGCCCTCTGCTGGACGCCACGCAGAAAGGACAGAGAGGGGCTTGGAGTGGGGACAGGGTTGTGGTCACGGGCACAGGAGTCTAGGATGTGAGCCTCAGATGGACTCACTTTATTGATCCTAAGAACCGGGTCGTTGTCTGTCCTCACTTTGAGTGAGGCCCTGGGTTCATCTCATGTAACCTCACAATCACCCTCGGACAGAAGTTCTCAAACGTCTTGGTCTCCGAATTCCGTCACACCCTTGAAAATTATTGAGCCGGCTGTCATCCCCACAGGCAGGGCCAGTCTCCAGAGCTGTCTCCCCCCTGCCTGGGCCCCCATTGTTTCAAGCTGTGCTCAGGCCTGTGGGCACCATCCTTGGGACCCAGGGAAAGCTGTGAAGTTGGAGGGGGTGAGCACCCTCCAGCATCTCATAGGGGCCTATGTGTGTGTGTTTGCTGTGCAGGAGCAGACGGCTGGCGGGCCCGCAGCATGGGGAGTGCAGAGCATCCCGCACGATGGGGCCCCAGGGGGCTGCCCCTGAACCCAGACGACCACGAGGAGCTCACAGCCCCAGGTACCCCCCGCCGCGGGTAGGACAGGACAGGACAAGACAGGGCTGCCTCCTGCGTTTCCCGTTGCTGCTCTGACAAATCACGGCTGCTTAGTGGCTGAAAACAGCACAGATTTGTCCTCTTTGTGTTCGGGAGGCCGAGCCTGGAATGGGTCTCACTGCGCTGACGTGGAGACGCAGCAGAGCTGCGTCCCCAGAGGCTCTCGGGGAGAGTCCGCTCCCTGGCCTTTTCCAGCTTCGGGAGGCCACTGCGTTCCCTGGCGAGTGCCCCCACCCCCAGCCTCCTCAGAGCTGGTCCGGGCTTTCTCGTTTCTCATCACTGACACTAACCCTTCGGCCTCCCTCTTCCATGTTAAGGACCCTTGTGAGCCTGTTGGCCCAGCTGGATAATCCATATTAATCTCTCTACTTTCAGGCCAGCTGATTAACAACCTGATATCCCCCTGCAACCTTAACTGTCCCCGCCGTGCAACATAACATTCGCAGGTGCCAAGGATCAGGGCATGGACACCTTTAGGGTCATTTTTCTGCCGGCCACATGCCCTACGGCGTCTGCTGGAGCCCCCTGCTTCCTGGTCACAGCACTGCCACCCAGGGCTCATTCAGGCCACTGTTGCAGCCCAGACCATCCCTGTGCTCTTCCCATCAGCCCCTCGCCCCATCAGGCACTGTACCCCATGCCCAGAGCCGTGGGATTCCTGCAGAGGCAAGAAATTCTGGATTATCCTGAACCACACCCCCATCAATTAGGGCACCTTTGGTCTCCTGGAAACTGTCAGCTTAGAACCGGGAGCCGGGAGTCCACTCTTAGCTCTCCCCTGGGACACTCAGGTCCACTGGCTCCCTGCCCATCCTGGCCTTTTCCTCCCCTCCAAGGGGAGCCAGAGATGATGGGCGGACATCTGAAGAGCTGTGTGGACGCAGCACCCAAGGTTCCTGCAGCCAGAAAGCAAAGGACGCGGGTCTTCGGGCCCCTGGTGGGGCAGGTGCTCCAAGCTCAGCGGCCCACGAACAGAAAACGCGCTCTATTCCAGGGCTGCTTTGTGGGCACACTTAAGAAAAAGGAGCTATTCACACGAGAAGTGTTTGCCGGCGCTGTGCTGGGGGTTGGGCACACGGCGCGGGCGAGGCCCAAGGTCGAGCTATCTGCCCGCTGCTTGACCCGCACGCTCTCCCTCTGGGTCTCAGGACCGCGGGATGGGGGGGGGATCTATCGCTCCTTTCCTTCCACGATCCCAGCATCGGCTCAGCCAGAGAACTAGCCCGAGAAGGAAGGCGACACTAGGGCTCTGGTCCTCCGTGCGTCTCAGGACGCCACCACCTCCTTCCCGCTGGAAGCCCGCTCTGCCTCCAGTAGAAAGCGTGGCCTCGGGGCCGTCAGTGTGCCCGCTCAGCCCCCGTGTGGCCCGCGTCCCTGGGCCTCGCTGTGAGTCTCACTCCGCTCTGACACGTGTGGTCCACGTGGGCTCTGCCTGTGGGCAGCGGCTAGGTGCCTCCACTGGGGGTCTCCTCTGCTCCCACACAGACTCCACTGGCCCATGGACCTCACCTGTGAGACCCAAGTTCAGCATTGAGAATATCAGGACAGTGATTGCAGGGCACTGACCCAGACGTCACCGCACGCGTGTGGCTGAGCCTCCCTGAGCATCTGCTGTGCAGAGAGCCTTCGGTTTCCTACTTGCCGGCGTTTTATCTTTTTGGCTGTTTGATTGCCAATAAAATTGACACAGACATTAAACATCAGGCTAACTAAGTGGAGACTGTCACAGCCTTTTTCTCTTGTCTCCAGAGAAGTTCCTGGGTGACCAGCGGTTCAGCTATGGGCAGCCCCTCACACTGACCTTCTGGGCCCCCCCTGGGGGCTCCCCGTTCCCTGTGCAGCTGAGGCTGGAGGGGGCTGGCCTGGCCCTGACTCTGCCACACTCCCACCTGTCGGGTCCCCAGGACGCCGGGCAGCCTGGGGAGGTGCAGCTCGAGTTCCAGTAAGTGTCCTGCTCTGTCCTGCTCTGTCCTGGGGGGCGGGGGTGGTGAGAGGTGGAGTGGCCCCTGAGGCCCAGGCGTGCTGGGATTCCCCTGTGGCCTAAAGGCTTCGTGGCCCCGCTGGCCCCACCTCAGGTCCTGGTCTGACCCCATCCCCTTGCCCCCTGCCAGGCTGCAGGAGACCTCTGAGGACGCGGACCCCCCGCTGCCCCCCTTCCACTTCCAGCGGCTGCTCTCCAACCTGACCGCTCTGCGCATCTGGACCAGCCCAGGCCCTTCTGGTCAGTGATGATAAGTCACCCCCAGAAGCCTCTGCGCCTGGCTCCTTTGTTGAGTCCTCACAGCAGACAGTTTTTGTCCCTGTTTTACCATGAAGGAATGTGAGACCGAGAGGTGGGGACACTTACCCAAAGCCATGTAACCAGTAGGGCAGTGATAGACCCTGGGGACAGAGGCAGGGGCTGGACAGGTGACAGGCCTAAGGATGGGCAGCTCCCGGAAGTTCTAAGCAGCCCTGTCCGTAGACAGGAGTGGCCGTGGTGTCCCCCCGCCGCAGACAGGGCCGCGGGACTGGGAACAGCTTCCCGTCAGGGGCTTCGCGTCTCACGCGGGTGTGTCTTCGGGACGGTTCCTCGAAGCAGAAACGTTAGGTGGAAGGGGACACGTTTACATTTTGATGGGTGCCACCAGATTTTCCAGCAGAAAGGCTGTGCCAGGCCCGTGTTCCGACGACACATGTCCCGCGCCATCCACCCACCGCGGGGTCTCGAGAGTCCACAGGCCCTTGTTCGTATTCGGCCCAGAGTTTCGAGCGGTTTCTGCGGGGGCTGGTCTGACAGGCGCCGCTCTGGCACTGGAAGCAGGGCCTCCTGGTTATGTCCACGCGAGCAGGGGCGCGAGTTCCCCACGGCCGCACCTCGCTGCAGTGATTTTTAAATGCTTACCAGCCCGAGGGCCTGGACGGTGTCATTGCTGTTTAAAGTGCATCTTTAATCACCCCTGAGAGTCTGCCCATAACATTTCTAGTTACAGCTATTTCTTGTCCCGAAAATTGCCTCATTTTACGTTGCTCTTTATTTGACTGTTTTTTAAAAAAATGATATTTGGTCCATGGGCCGCCTCTGTATATGTGGGCGAGTAACCCTCAGCCTGTCACGTGTGTGAATAGAGAGGTTTTGGGGAGAAACATGTGGGTGTAACTCTCTCCCTCTCTCCG